ACACTTTTTCTTTGATGTAGTTGTTGAGCAACTTTACCGAAGGATGTCCGAGTCTCTTGTGCCAGATTTCAGCGTCGGTGCGGTATCCTCGTGTCCGTGCGTACAATTGCTTTTCCCGCACTAATATTTGTTCTGCTGTCTCCTTTTCTACTTCGTTCGCAAGTTCTTCCGGAACGAGCACTTCAACTACTGCCCCGTTGTATACTCCACTGGAATCTCCAATGGTTGCGGTGTCAATCGTAATGGGAAGCTGCAGTGGACCTTCTGAAGGTGTCGATGTGTTTTTCTGGCGACGGTCTTTTGGCTGGGTGATTTTGCCTTCTTCGAAGTCGATGTTGCCAATTGCTACTCCACTTGTCTTGAGACGGAGGTAGCTGCTTCCATCCGTTGTAATCGGGATGAGGTAAGGTCCGCTGTCAATGACTCCTCTTCTTCTTCTCGTGCCACATCGGTAACCTCTGGTTCTTCATCCTCTGCGGATCCAATGGTGGCGTTGGACCATCATGTTTCGGCTTCGATAACTTCTCCATGACGTGCTCCCCATCCTGTGCTGTGAGTTGGCCAGGCTACGTCCACGGTGTCCCATCCTCCAGGCGCGTCCCACCCGGTAGGTTGCTCGACTCTGGGCCAAGTTGCTTGTCCTGGACCTCCTGTTGAGCTCTCTTCTGCTGAGCTCATTTCTTCTCCCTCTTCTACTGCCTGTGGTCCGGTGTATGCAGGGTTCGTGGTGGAGGCAACGGGTACCGCTAAGGCACAAAAGGTTCCGTCTGGGTCTGGGCATTGATAGTCCGTCTCTAATGGATGACTCCAAGTGGGTGGCGATGGATGCTCCGGCGGATCAAGAACGATGATGCGATCCTTGGTGCCCACGCTCCCCGGTGAGTCGAAGTTAAGTACGAACACTACGTTTTTTCTTATCGCCTTTCTGATGAGAGTGCCTTCATGGACTAAATGAAACTCCTTTCCGCGTGTGTGTAGTTGAATGCCATACTTTATCAATGCAGAAGGTTGAATCGTAGTTCCGGTACGACGAGCACATCGCTGATATAGATGCAAAAGTTTGTGTCCTTTGCTGCGAGTTGAATCTGGTCGCGGCTCTTCGCGTAGACCGATTAATATTGGCGACGGTGATCTCCGCTTCGTTGAAGTGTGGTTCGCTGTTGAGGATGAAGTGGCTGGATGAAACCATGTGTTGTCCACAGCAGCTATCCAGGTACCACTTGTTGACGTTTGGATTTTGTTTGGAGATGTTGACGATTCTTGGAGTTAAATGATGTTCCACGTCATGATCGTCTTCGTAACTACATCCCTCGTTGTTGTGTGCGATGCGTGCAAGTGGCGACTCCTGGATCCACGGTGGTGCCACCCAATCGTATGGGATGCACCCGATAGTCAGCTCGTGATAGGTCAAATCATTAACCTCTTCGTCCTTAACAAATCCTTCTACTCTTTCTTTAGGTGAGTCTTGAAACGTATCTTCCCAGTTGCGGAAGAAGCGGTAGTGACCGATGGGTCAGGGAGGCCCGTGGCGCACCAAACAAGTTAACACCTTGATTTTCCCTTTGTCGTTTACAGATATTCGCGCCGGAGCTTGTGAGGTGCTGGCGACGGCAGGCGGGGATACGGTCTAGTTGCGTGGTGGTGGTCCGGTAGATGGTAAGATGCTCCTCCATGTTGCCTTTGCCCGTAGTTCTCGTTATTGTTCCTGTTCAACTTCCAGCACTCCTTGATGGTGTGTCCAGTATTCTTGCAATACTTGTAGAAGAGCCTCTTCTTGCCTGGTGGTGCTTCTGCGCTTGTATTAAAACGCGATCTCCTCTATCTTGTAGCCGCTCTCATTGTACAGGTCAATTTCCTGCTATTCTACGAGCAGCGAGGACAAAGTGAAGTTTCAGTGAGCGTGCCTTGGGTGCGAAGAAGCGGTTTGCAGTGGCGCCAGTCCGTACTCAGCCCAGCGAAGATGATGGTGACGAACATATCGTCAGGGAAGTTTCTGCCGCTTTTCTTGAATTGGTCCTTCAAGTTTCTGCAGCGATTGATGTATGCCCCTACCTTTTCTCCAGGGTGAATCTTGAATATTGATGTTTAACAAACGACTGAGTGTCACTGAATCGGGTGCCATATGGCATGTGCGCAGAAGTTCCCAAGATTGTTGCGCCGACGGCCACTCATTTTTGAACGAGCGAATGCCGAGCTGCTCCGCGAACGTCAGATTTCGGATCAAGACCGTGTAGGTGAGGAGCGACTCGTTGTAGTACTAAGTCTTCTCCTGAGCTTGGAAGTTGACAGAAACTTGCTCTAGATTGACGCCATTGCTTCGTAATATTCTTGCTGTGCTTGCGTAGGTCCTTGTATTTCACGGTTGTCGAAGGTGAGTGGTCGCTTGGTGTGGGGACCTTGCGGGTCGGGAGGTCTTCGGGCGTAGCTGGAGCCGTCAATGCTTATCGGCTGGTGATGGTTCTCCAAGGCGTTGATGCGGGTGATGAGCTGCTCAATCAACGCAGGATCCACAAATGTCACTCATGAGGTGACATTAATTATCTCTTGAACTGGATTCTCTCAATTTTTGCTGGCCGTGAATATAGTGTATTTGTAATAATGAAGATAGTTTTGCAGAACGATGTATTAGAATATCCTATAATCCAATCTAGCTCTCATACCATGTTGTGATATGGATCTTGGAGATGATAGGTCTGCTAGAGTAGTGTAGAGGAATTCTTGGTTGTGGTAGGAACCTTGTGCATAGTAAATATAGATGACAAGATTGATTAAAAAGGAAAATATTACACAATAAATAGATCTAGCTAGCCATGTACTCTAAGGGGCACATTCCCTTATTATACCTGTTTTACAGGCATTGCTACAGTAATCGCGACTCCTGTTGCAGTTCTTCGCAGGTAACCGTTCGGTCTAGGTTGGTCAACAGTCGCGACAGTTGACTTGCGATTGTTGATCTACGTGCCCCATATGGGCTAACATGATAGTGCTGCTGATGTTGCTTCGGTAGTAGCAGGTGCGATATCGCTGCACCTTCGAGAATGCTTAGATAATTCCCTGCTTACTCCAACAAAGTTGGTAGATGTCAAGAACACGTTTGTGAGGGACAGAATCACTCATCAACGAAGGTGCTTCAAACGAGTCGAATGGGACGTTTCATCCTCATTGTCATGACAAGTCAAACACATAAGAAAGTCCACGTAGCATCCAATCAAGTCAAGCTATACAAGGTGCATGAGAATTTTCAAAGTGTCGATTGTAGGTTCTTAGACTAGTTGAAGGATGAGGATAGCGTCATGGCGCGCCATGTTTGACATGCCAGCGGCGAATGGTTGTAATAAGCCAACATAGAAGGCATCGTGGATATGCTAGTTGCCTCGAGCAGCAATTTTGTATCAAAGTACTAAGCAGGAATGAGTGAATTATGAAAGAGTTTGGTACAAATATGAAACCATAGAATGGGCTGTACCCCATATTGACTACCCCACTACAACCTAAACATATATATCATTTCACACACCCCCATAGGCGAAGTGGGGGAGAACAAGGGGTCACAAGACCAGTCAAGAAACAAAGCAAGCTCAGGGTGGATCACAACGTCACCACACAATCTGAGCACAAGCAAAGGGCCACAAGGCCAGTCTGCATGCAGAGATATATATGCAAAAGCAACAGTACAGTGATCATTACATAACAAGTGTAGGCATGCAGGTATACAATATAGATCACAGTACAGGCAAGGTCAAGAAGTAAGTAAGTGAGAAGACACAGGAACAAGGCCAAGTGCAGTACAGAAGCGCTGATGGTCACGAGACGAAAGTGCCTTGGTGAACACGTCAGCAGTGTTGGCCTGAGAGGCCACGTAGGCAAGACGAAGCTGACCACGCTGCTGCAGCTCCCGAGCAAGGAAGTAGCGAAGAGCGATGTGCTTCGTTCTGTGCTCCAACCTCTGTTCGCGACACAAGGCAAGCATTGCCTTGTTATCGATGTACAGAACTGGAGGAGAACGAGGCACCTCGCCCAAGTCTGTCAGCAGGTAGGTGAGCCAACGCAGCTCCTGTGCAGCCATGGCCCCTGCGTAGATCTCAGCCTCACAGCTGGAGCTGAGAACAGAAGAAGAGCGGGTAGACCGCCAAGAGACAGAACCGGAGCCAAGGCTGAAGGTGTAACCCTGAGACGACCGCTGCGTAGCCAGGTCGTCAACCCAAGAAGCGTCTGCGTGACCAGTGAGGACAACTGGACCCCGTCCTCCAAGCACGAGCCCCATGCCTGACGTACTGCACAAGTAACGCATCACCCTCTTAGCTGCCTTCCAGTGCTCTGGAAGGTGTCTCCCGGGCGCAACGTAGCGTGCCAGGATGCTGAGAGGGTAAGCGAGGTCAGGGCGAGTGCAGGTCATCAGGTACATGAGGCAGCCCACAAGCTATGGATACGGGCCACTCGGCTCTACGGACTCATCCGAAGGCAGAGCTGAGAGCGAGTGACCAGTAGGCAGAGGAGTGGACTGTGGCGAGGAGAACAGGAAGTCGAAGCGCTGAAAGACCTGCTGCACCATGTGTGACTGGGTCAGGGTGATGGTGCGGCTTGCTCTGTCCCGAGTGATCTGCAAGCCAAGATAGCTGCGCAGCTCACCCAGGTCTGTGCACGTGTGTCTCTTCTGCAGCTCCGACTTCACTAGAGTCAGTGCCTCAGTGTCAGAAGTAGCAAAGACCAAGTCGTCGACGTACACGAGGATGTAGAACGGCGGCAGTGAAGTGTCGGTGCGTAGAAACAGCGACGGGTCAGCAGTAGAAGGAGCAAACCCAAGAGCCGCAAGTGTAGTCCTCAGTGTGTCGTGCCACTCACGAGGTGCCTGGCGGAGACCGTAGACTGGCCGCCGGAGGCTCCACTGGGTACCAGGGGGAAACGACCCAGTGAAGCCAGGTGGGCGGCGCAGCCAGATCTCCTCGTGCAGGCTGCCCTGTAGAAAGGCTGTGCTAAAGTCAAGAGAGTGAAGCTCGTAGTCACGCTGAGCAGCGACGTGCAGCAGTACCCGAAGAGTGGTCATCTTCGGGGTGGGAGAGAAGGTCTGAAAGTAGTCAACTCCCTGCCACTGACTGAAGCCACGAGCAACGTAACGCGCCTTGAAGACAGGCGGAGAACCCGGCGGCCGCTTCACCCTGAAGATCCACATGCCATCGACAATGTTCGCCCCAGGTGGGGGAACCTCGTCGACGTAGGTGCCTGTGGACTTCCAGGAAGCCATCTCTGCGTCCATGGCTGCCTGCCACTGAGAGGAGTAGGGACCCTCAACCGCCTCTGCGTAAGAGCGCGGAGTCGGGATGTCTAGTGCATCCGGGTCTCCCTCAGGGGCAAGCAGCATGGACACGAGATGAGGTGAAGCAGCAGCCAGACACTGGAACTCCTCCTGCCTGTCCTCAAGGACGTCCGTGCCAAGGGCACACTCACCCCCGACGGACGGAGGACAGACAGACTCAGACTCAGCAACAAGACTGGCAGCGTAGTCTAGACGACAGCGAGCAGCAAAGTCGACAAGCTCGGCAACCAGCGCAGACGCAGCAGCAGACTCAAAGGAAGGGTCAGTGACAACAGTAGCCAGGAGACGCGTGACAGTGGGACTAGCAGCACGAAGGGAGTCCGACTCCGGGTCAGCAAGGACACGAAGAGAGGACTCAGGAGGAGACGGCAGAGGGGCACGCTGAGGAGCAGTGGAAGGACGCAGAGTCATCCGGTGCGTGCCGGGGACAGGAGGAGAACGCTGACGCGAGCTACGACCACCAGTGCGAGCAGCACGGACAGGCGACGCAGGACGAGACGCAGGCTCACGACGCTCGACAAGACCTCCTGTCGGACCAGCGTAAGGAGACGGAGCAGGCAGGGGGGAGGTAGGCTGTAGCTGAGACAGGGATAGGACAGGCGGTGGACACTCTAAGGAAGGGGGTGGACTAAGAGAGGGCGGGAGACCAAGAACCTGCTGAAGGAGTGGAACGAAGTACGGCCGCAGCCGCTCAGCACCCCCAGAACCAGCAGGAGCACCTCCAGTAGTACCTCCAGCAGCTCCAGCACCAGCAGCACCAACAGCAGCGCCACCAGCTCCACCGGCAGCTCTAGCAACACCCCCAGCAGCTCCAGCACCAGCAGCACCAACAGCAGCACCACCAGCAGCTCCACCAGCTCCACCAGCTCCCGCTGCGATGCTCCAGTAGCACCTCCAGCAGCTCCAGCACCAGCAGCACCAACAGCAGCTCCACCAGCTCCACCGGCAGCTCCAGCAGCTCCAGCACCAGCAGCACCACCAGCAGCACCCTCAGAACTAGAACCAGCAGCGCCAGGGTCTCCAGCTGCAGGACCTGCAGCAGCCGCACCCCCAGGTCCGGAACCTCCAGCTCCAGCGTCTACAGCAGGACCTCCTCCAACACCACCGGCCCCGGCAGCTCGAGTACCTCTAGTACGAGCACCTCCAGTGCCTGTGGTGTCAGCAGCACGAGTGTCGCCAGCTCCAGCAGCAGTACCGCCAACTCCAGGACGCCGCCGCAGTCGCTGACGAACCGCAAACCACTCCCGCAGCTCCGCTGGCGTAAGGGGCCGGCGAGAAATCGGTCCAGCTCCCTCCGGGACCTCACTCACCGGCACAGCACCCCCAGGCTCCGCACCCTCCAGCACCTCACGGACCGGCACAGCACCCCCAGGCTCCGCACCCTCCAGTACCTCACGCACCGGCACAGCACCCCCAGGCTCCACACCCTCCAGCACCTCACGCAGTGGCTCAGCACCCCCAGACGCAGCACCTCGAGCAGTACCACCCTCAGCAGCACCTGAGTCACTAGTGACCTCGAGAGGCTCAGCAAAGGGAGGCGGGTCTACCTGAGACACACCTGAAGGAGCAGGACCCTGGGGGGGAAGGGGGTGACCTGGAGTGAGGAAGAGCGGCGGGGGAGGGAGAGGGGCAGTGCGGTAGGGAAAGAAGCGGTAGAAAGGGACTGACTCGTCAAAGGTAACGTCCTGAGAAGACAGGACCCTGCGCGAGGCGGGGTGGTAAAACTGCCAGCCAGGCGCGTCAGTCGGAAAGCCAAGGAAGACACAGGGAAGGGTGCGGGAGGAGAGCTTGTCCGCGGACGTATCGCGAACAAGAGCACGGGCACCCCAGACCCGGAACACCGACGCATCACCAACCTCCCCAGTCCACCTCAGTGTGGGCGAGGTCTCCGGAACGGAGACACGGGGCCAGAGGTTGAGCTGCTGTGCGGCGTACCGGACCGCAAACGGCCACAGAAAATGGGGAGCCGCCGCATGGATCAAGGAGGTACGAGCGATCTCCATGACCAGGCCAATGCGGCGCTCAGCAACCCCATTTTGCTGCGGTGAGCCCGGAAGCGTGTAAGACTGGGTGATGCCCTCCTCCTGACAGAAGCCGCGCAAGAGGTCGGAGGCGAACTCTCCGCCCCTGTCAGAGTGCAGACGCAGAACAGGGAGGTCGGTCCGAAACCTCCTGCGTAGCTGGAGACGAACCGCTCGGATCCAAGGGATCAGGACAGCAGGGACCTCACCCTTGGTGCGCAAGGGGAAGACCGTGGTGTAACGCGAGTAGTCGTCAACTACCAGCAGGAAGTACCGCTCTCCACCCCGTCCGCTGACGCGGGCGGGGCCCCACACGTCCATGTGGAGAGTCTGCAGCGGAGCCTCTGTCGGAGGAAACGAGGAGGAGTGAGGAGCGGCGCGCTGCCGCCCCTCGACGCAAGGAAGGCAGGCCGGGGCAGGCGAAGCAGGGAGGCGAGGTAGGGTCCGCGGAAGACCAGACACAAGGACGCGACGGTGCATGTCACGAAGACGGGGCAAGGAGGGGTGGCCCAGATGGTGGTGCCAGAGAACGGTCTGGTGCGACAGGGATCGACACGAGCAAGGGGAGTCTACCTGACCTGACGCAGACGCCTGACCGACAGCAGCGACCTGGGGAGACACAGTAGTCAGTGTGTAAAGGCTCGACCCTGGAGCACGCGTGAACGTGGCCAGGTGTCGCCCAGTCCTGGAGCACGTACAGATCGCCACACGCTGTCCTCCAGGGGTGAAGGTATCAACCCAGTGGTCCTGAAGGACAGCGTTGCTCACCAAGTTCGTAGAGAACGAGGGGAGGTGGAGACCTGACAGTGAACCAGACGGGACCGCTGGGCAAGGAAGCACAGTGGTAGACCGTGCAAGGACTGGACCCCTCGAGGGGTCAGCCAGGGAGACTGCAACTGGTGCAGGGAGCGGTGTGAGGGCTGTGCTGTCGCGGAAGAAACACCTGGAAGCACCTGAGTCAAGAGTGAAGGTGTGCAAGGCAGTAGAAGGCGCAGTATCTGACAGCGCAGACTCACCCGCAGCTAAGGCAGTGGACGCGGTACCTGAGAGCGCAGACTCGCAAGCACCAAGAGCTGCTGGCTCTATACCTGGATCAGGCGGCAGACACAGGTAGCAGTCACCCTCAGCACTAACAGACAATGCATACATGGCAGCAAGAATAGCATCATAGTCAAGAGCAAAGATGTCTACACCCTTCTTAAGCAGATCAAACCAGCGAGGGGTCTCAACCTCTGCCCCCATCTCCTCACGCCAGGCGTCGTCAAGGCGGGAGAAGCAACGCTGCTGGGGGTGGGGTTTGCCGCATGTGTGCCGCATGTGATCACACATAGTGGGGTAGCACATATGGGGTACAGTTTTCTAGGGTTTACATTTGTACCCAACTTTCCCTTAGTCAATTCATTCCTCGTTTCTTCTCATTAGGCTGTAGTGGGGTAGTCAATATGGGGTACAGCCCATTCTAGGGTTTCATATTTGTACCAAACTCTTTCATAATTCACTCATTCCTGCTTAGTACTTTGATATGGTTTCAGAGCAGGAGGTCTCTAGGACCTAACTCTGTGGGCCCACCGTCCCTTTTTTTTCCGCCGAGTCGCGCCCTACTATAGCCCCTAGCGGGCCCTACTGCTGCGTCGCGCCCTGCTGCTGCGTCGCGCCCTGCGGCCGCGTCGCGCCCTGCTGCCGCGTCGCGCCTTGCTGCCGAGTCGCGCGTGCTGCTGCTGCATCGCCCGACCGCCGCGACGCGCGCGCTGCAGCTGCGTCGCCCGCCCGCCGCGTCGCGCGCCCTTTCGCCGCGTCGCCCGCGCCCTGCTGCGCTGCCCGCGCCTTGCTGCGCCGGCCGCGCCCTTCTGCGCCGGCCGCGCCCTACTGCGCCGGCCGCGCCCTGCTGCGCCCGCCGCGCCTGCTGCGCCGCCCGCGCCCTGCTGCGCCGCCCGCTCTTAGCTGCGCCGCCCGCGCCTTGCTGCGCCGGCCGTGCCCTGCTGCTCCGCCCGCTCTCTGCTGCGCTGCCCGCGCCCTGCTTAGCCGCCCGCGCCCTGCTGCGCCGCTCGCGCCCTGTTGCGCCGCCCAGCCACCCGCGCCCTGCTGAGCCGCCCGCGCCCTACTACGCAGCCCGCGCCCTACTGCGCCGCTCGCGCCCTACTGCGCCGCCCGCGCCCTCCTGCGTCGCGCGTCCTGCTGCTCGTCACCGCCTAGCGCCATGGCCACTCTTCGTGTTCTGTCCTTCGACACTGAAGGCCGCCCTGTAGAGTTCGACGCCTGGCTCGATGACTTGCAGCTCTACCTGATTAGCACCAGCAAAGACGAGATCTCCCTCTTTGATCACACCTCCGGTGCTCTAGCTGACCAGCACGCTCACCGGTGCGAATGACATACGTACAGCGAGAACCCCCAGACGTACCCCTCTGAGCCAACCACTCACGAAGTTGCTGAGGCGTAAGGGACCGCTGCTGCTGCTGTCTCTGACCAGCGCCTCCACCACGACCGCCATCGCCTCCGCTGCCTCCACCACCGCCGCTACCGCCACCACCGCCGCTACCGCCACCACCGCCACTCCCACCGCCGCCACCACCACCACCTCCTCCACCGCCGCTACCACTCCCACTAGCACTCCCGCCGCCACTGCCTCCACTCCCACCGCCACCTCCACCACCTCCACCTCCTCCTCCGCCGCCACCGCCACCACCGCCCTTGCCCCCCTTGCCCTTGCCGGTGCGGCGCCGCCCAGCAGAAGTGGAGGCAGCACCAACCGAGTCGGCTCCGAGGAAGTCTACAGCGGCAGCAGTGGCGTAGGAGGGGGCAAGAGGGGAAGAAGCGCACCCCTCAAAGATGGGGGTGCGAGGAGCACCACGAGCAGCAGCCACACTAACAATGCTGCTCTCAGCGGCTAAGAGGTGCTCCTCTAGGAGGTCTATGGTGAGGTCGGAGGGACAGCGCGCTAGGAAGTGATCCCTGACTGAGCGAAGGGTGTCAGGGAGGCGGGTCACTATAAAGTGGAGCGTCCAGTACATCGGAGGGGGGTGCTGGGCAACAAACTCCTTGCGGAGTGCGGCACGGACACGAGCGTCACTAGAGCGAAGGTGGGTGATGAGGTCGGCTACGGTGGCAAAGCTCGACAGCTCGGTGAACAGGTACGGCAGCATGAGGCGGCTGAGCGCAGCAGTGGCAGGGGAGGAGTAGCGAGCAACTACAGCGTCGTACAGGGCCTTAGCGGTTTTGTGCTCGCCAAAGTGCTTAAGTTCCGCCAGCGGTAGGTGGTTGCGAATAGCAAGGCGGGCAGCAGCATCGCGTGTCAGCCACTGAGAGCGCTCGCTAAGGGCAGCTGTGTCAGCAGGAGCAGCTAGAGCACCGGAGGTGTGATCAAAGAGGGAGATCTCGTCTTTGCTGGTGCTAATCAGGTAGAGCTGCAAGTCATCGAGCCAGGCGTCGAACTCTACAGGGCGGCCTTCAGTGTCGAAGGACAGAACACGAAGAGTGGCCATGGCGCTAGGCGGTGACGAGCAGCAGGACGCGCGACGCAGGAGGGCGCGGGCGGCGCAGTAGGGCGCGAGCGGCGCAGTAGGGCGCGGGCTGCGTAGTAGGGCGCGGGCGGCTCAGCAGGGCGCGGGTGGCTGGGCGGCGCAACAGGGCGCGAGCGGCGCAGCAGGGCGCGGGCGGCTAAGCAGGGCGCGGGCAGCGCAGCAGAGAGCGGGCGGAGCAGCAGGGCACGGCCGGCGCAGCAAGGCGCGGGCGGCGCAGCTAAGAGCGGGCGGCGCAGCAGGGCGCGGGCGGCGCAGCAGGCGCGGCGGGCGCAGCAGGGCGCGGCCGGCGCAGTAGGGCGCGGCCGGCGCAGAAGGGCGCGGCCGGCGCAGCAAGGCGCGGGCAGCGCAGCAGGGCGCGGGCGACGCGGCGAAAGGGCGCGCGACGCGGCGGGCGGGCGACGCAGCTGCAGCGCGCGCGTCGCGGCGGTCGGGCGATGCAGCAGCAGCACGCGCGACTCGGCAGCAAGGCGCGACGCGGCAGCAGGGCGCGACGCGGCCGCAGGGCGCGACGCAGCAGCAGGGCGCGACGCAGCAGTAGGGCCCGCTAGGGGCTATAGTAGGGCGCGACTCGGCGGAAAAAAAAGGGACGGTGGGCCCACAGAGTTAGGTCCTAGAGACCTCCTGCTCTGAAACCATATCAAAGTACTAAGCAGGAATGAGTGAATTATGAAAGAGTTTGGTACAAATATGAAACCCTAGAATGGGCTGTACCCCATATTGACTACCCCACTACAGCCTAATGAGAAGAAACGAGGAATGAATTGACTAAGGGAAAGTTGGGTACAAATGTAAACCCTAGAAAACTGTACCCCATATGTGCTACCCCACTATAGCCTACAGTAGCTATGTCATATAAATCTGACACACCCCCATAGGCAAAGTGGGGGAGAACAAGGGGTCACAAGACCAGTCAAGTAAAGCAAAGCAAGCTCAGGGTGGATCACAAAGTCACCACACATTCCGAGCACAAGTTCAAGGCCACAAGGCCAGTTCACATGCAGGATTACATATATATATAAGGCTAGACAAGCAAGAGCAGGTGTATATATATATGCAACAGTACAAACAAGGTCAAGGGGTGAGCAAGTGAGGCAAGGTGGGCACAAGACCCAGCTGAGTACAGAAGCGCTGATGATCACAAGGCGCAAGTGCCTTGGTGAAGATATCAGCAGTGTTGGCCTGAGAGGCCACGTACGCAAGCCGCAGCTGACCACGCTGCTGTAGCTCACGAGCAAGGAAGTAGCGGAGAGCAATGTGCTTCGTTCTGTGCTCCAGTCTCTGCTCTCGACACAAGGCCAGCATGGCCTTGTTGTCTACGTACAGCACTGGAGGAGAACGAGGCGGCTCTCCGAGGTCAGTCAGCAGGTAGGTGAGCCAGCGAAGCTCCTGTGCAGCCATGGCCCCGGCGTAGATCTCAGCCTCACAACTGGAGCCGAGAACAGAAGACGAGCGGGTAGCCCGCCACGAAACAGAGCCGGAACCAAGGCTGAAGGTGTAACCCTGTGACGACCGCTGCGTAGCCTGGTCGTCAGCCCAAGAAGCGTCTGCGTGCCCAGTGAGGACCACTGGACTCTGCCCTCCTAGCACAAGCCCCATGCCCGACGTACTGCACAAGTAACGCAACACCCTCTTCGCTGCAGCCATGTGCTCCGGTCTGTGTCTCCCAGGAGCAACATAGCGTGCGAGAATGCTAAGAGGGTATGCGAGGTCAGGTCGTGTGCAGGTCATCAGGTACATGAGGCAGCCAACAAGCTCTGGGTACGGGCCACTCGACTCTACGGACTCATCCGAAGGCAGAGCTGA